TGTGCTTTGACTTATGGGAGAACTGCCATTATCAACTTCAGAATTATATCAAAAAGAAGAAGACAGTAACAATGTTTTCCACAACTTCTCCAGTAGTTGTGCTTCTCCCATAACACTGATGGTTAGAGGGCACCTGCACCTATTAAAAAGCCTTCAGTCTTCACAACAGTCCCACACCAGACGAAACATCACCTAACCATCAAAATGGTCTCTCCAGTCACAGCTGAGCAGCAGAAAGTGTGGGGAGAAAAACATTTTCACAAACAATGACTACCCACACCGTTGGAAGAATCAAGGAAACAAGCATGAGACACTGGTATGGCCCGCTCTGTATACATTTCATATCATACTAAAAGAACAATATTTCAATGTAGCAGTTGCATTACACTGACATCCCATCTCAAAAACTTTACTTTTTTTGGTGTGAATAGAGAACATCCTTTATCTTGTGTCTGCATGATGACACTGGGGTGCTTGGTTTATGAGTCTACCCAGGCCCCACTTGTTGCTGCTTCTCATCACTGACTTTTGCCTCTGCTTGCCGTCACAGCAGACAACACATTATTGAGGCTGTCATGTTCATGGCAAAGAGCGTAACAGAAGCGTCTGACCTGCACACAAAACAGGAGGGAGATATCTGCTGACTAATGGGATTTGGAGCTCGGTCTCAGCTGCAGTAGTTGGTTTTATAAGTTGGAAGGAGCACGATAGTATGGCGTGCTTTTCCTTCTCTCTGCACGGGTCTCTGGTGGAGGGTGTTTGGTCACGCAGAGGTGCCGGGCGGGTGCTGTTAAACACATGGCAGGAGACTGGTGAAGAAAGTGGCAATAGAGCGCAGATGGAGAAAAGATCATGACAGAGGAGAGGAATGTGAGAGCTGCTCACACTATACAAGGTCACGATATATTAGGTTATTTGAGATTATTTGTCTTGAATTAAGAGTTTGAACAGTGTGATTTGTGGCTTATTATACATAAAAGGGAAAGGTATAGTATATAGCAATTTAATGACAAAAACAATATAGGTTTTGTGCATTGTGATAACCTTCAAAAGAAACATTTTTTCGGCAAATACATGGGACACCTATAACTTTCAAAAAAACAGTTTGCTACTATCACTAGTTTTAAATTGTAATTTTGTTTTATGTCACAGCTTTAGATCATGATAGATGATTGGCAGTACTTCTAAGGAGTGCTACCCCTGTAAATAGTGACTTTCAGAGCTAAATAGAGATCATTCCTTTATCCCAACCATGCTACTTAACATAACTAATTATTTTAAGCAAATTTGAATAACTATCCATAAAACAAGAACATATTAAAAAAAAAAAAACGTATGACTGGAACCATGGGTACACGGGGAGCAGACATGGCAAATCGAGACAAAGTAAACAAAGACAATACCGACATGTAAAGTCTCAGTGTGCTTACTTCCTTGACATCTCTCAAATCTGAAAATGAAACGACTTCATACATTCATGGACGTCTTCAAACGAATTTCTCGCTGAGACACGATGGAGGAAGTCAGATTTGTGCCCAAGAGACGTTTGGACCAAAGTCTGAAATTTACGATGTTTATTCTGAGGATCCAAACACGATGAGACTGCAGCCAGCGTGCGTGGTGTGCGCGACACTGCCAATAGGGGGCAGTCTTGTACAAGCAAGTGTGAGGCAAGCGCCGCTGGAACCGTGGAACCGCGCTGCTCTGGTGCAACAGGTTTAATTCCCTTCATCTTAACAAAAAGAAGCTACAGAAAGTTTACTTTAGATTCATATATTTAATGTGTGTGTGAGAAGTCGATGTGTTTGTACAAGGGGCTTCGAACAGTAAAATTATATAGCCTATTTATTCTGTGTTCTTTTTAATTTCTAAAAAGGAAAAGGAAAACATGTATTAAAGATTTAAACTTTTACAAACGACGGGTCATGTCACGAGGAAAGCAGACGGCAATTTTAGGTTTTAATTATCTTCTGGCAATGTTGTCTTGAACTTAATGGAGTGCTACAAAATCGATAAAGTCACAATAACTATTTGTGATAAATAAGATACACTATTGTAGTAAATGTTTCATGGACTGTAGAATTAATCTATTAGTTCCTTTTCTTTTCTGTCTTCATTATTGTCTGTCTCCCTTTGAATAAATACTCAACAATCAACCAAACTAAATGTTCCCATTCAAGAAATCCATGAGAAATGTGTATTTATTGAAATACAATATTATTAATACAAATAAAAATAATAATAATTTTATTATGAGGATTTTTATCGGACAACGTGAGAAATAACAACGCTTTTGCAATTTTGAACGTTGCATCTCTGCAGGCAGTATTCCAAGCCTGTTCTCTATAAAACACATTACTGCAATAATGAGATGCACACTCTCACTTCCGCTGTGTCTAAATCTACATTACTCCTGTCTGTGTGTAGAAAGTGTTTCTCATGTAAAACAGTGTGATGTGGGGGAAAATGTGACTTTTGGGGTTGTTGAGTGAAAGTGCTGCTGGGACAGGATGAGCTGTGGAGGGGAGTGGGAGGGGGAATGTGGGGGCCTCAAACCACAGACACAGGTAACTCAGGTCTACCTCCTGCTCAACTCTATGGACCTACATCCTGTCTGCCTGTATGCACTGACAGAACAGCATCCAGCAATTCAGACGAGGTAAGAGATCATTACAACATTATGAAAGGTTTGGATTACAAGGCCTATACAAATTGTGAGCGGTGATATGTCACTAATGCGCATACGTGTATAATGAAAATAGTTATACATAGAAAAACATATTTTTTATTTCTACTTAAATGTATGATTTATCAACAGGGCCTACACATTTGACAATACAATTCGATGTATATCCCCACGCTGTAACAGACCTGCATTCCTCGTGCACCCATCTCACTGCGGCCATTTCTGAGGCAGCTGTTGCGTCTGTCTGTGCGAGGCAAATGATCAGACAGTGAACAATGGAGGACGCAGAGAGGAGCTAAAGGGTGAAGCATTAACTCTAGACGAAAAGGGGAAAACAAAAACATAATTATGAGCGACACAAACAAGAAACCAATATATCAAATAACATTTTGATTTTACATATTGGCTGAGAATAGCGTGGATACAGAGCAATATTCAAATTGATTTACATATATGGCATAAATAAAACGCTTTCAAAAATGAATGAAAAAGGATATAATTTTGTTGCACATTATGTTAAAATATGTTACTCTAAACATTGGCTACATTAGTACATCATTCTCCAACTGTAAGACGAATACAAATTATCTTATAACGTTATTTGGTGTATACACTGAGAACAGCCCAAATTGCTCCAGGTCATATAATATCACTTTCTGGAAATTAGTCACAAACTGTAAATTCCAACAATATTTGGAATTGTTATGACATATACATATTTCACTATGAATATTTTTTGTTTTTGTTTTTGTTGAACGATTTAGATTTTGAAAAGGAAAGTTATAAATAAAAACCGGTTCACCTGCGAGTCTTTCGTGCACTAATAGTCTATAGGCCCTTTTTTCTGCGCCTTCTGTCCTCGTTCATATCTAGAACAGGTTAGGCCTTTATCTTTTAATATGTGTTCGTCAAAGGCTTAATGTAAAAATGTGCTGTTATGTCAGCTTTTATATTCTGTTTGTGTTATTTTTTGAGAGCGAGAATACTGTATACAGCTGTGATATGAAACCCAATGAAACCACAATGTACAAAAACTTGCATTCGGCAGTGTAGGCCTATACCCTGTAGGAAACTGAGGCTGATTATCTCTGGGGCTTCTGTACAAAAATATTCATAGAAATCAGGAAGGACATTTCCACATGTTCTTGTGGTTGGTGGAGTATTTAGCTGTTTTTGATTGAACAACCTGTTAAATAATGGTGCGATATACCAGAGAAAGCTATTTCTATTCAGCCGCAGGGAAGCCAATTATTAATAACTTGTATTAATCTCTGAATTGTTGGAAGTAATTGCAAAGATAATTTTAAAAAGGCGTACACAAGACCGAAGCGTGGCCTGCTGTTACAGTCGTATGTCAATGGGCGGCGCTGCTTCCTCTCGTTCTGGAAGCCCCCAGTTCAGTGCATATTATAATCCAGTCATTTCAGTAATCTCAATATGCTATTCATCCCTGTTTCAGACGCAGCGTGAATTGGTACACCTTGTAAAAGAGAAAATCAGAAAAGGAGAGAGCAAAAATTGCAACAATGACTCAATAGAGTCCATGATATTATTCCAATATTGTGATAACCGTGTTCTCAATCATCGTCTCATCTGTGCATCAGGCCAAGGCCAGTGCTACGTCTATGTCACATTTTGAGTCTCAAACCGTCACTTAGAGCCTTCACATGACAAATAGACTATTAGTGGACCGAGCTGTCACGTTTTACTTCAAGCTTAAAGAGACGGCTCCTGCAAGTTACAAAGAAAAAGTTGGCTATACAGACATGCTTCTACTCTGACAATGTACAAATCCAGGTTTAAAACAGTTCTGTTTTGCTGCGCATACAAATTAAGGATTATATCTTCACTACTTTTAATATACTGCTCTTAGTGATGCATTTTGTTTCAATCTTGTTTTGTATCAGCATTTTGAGTTACCTTCTTTGAACCGTCCTATACAAATAAACTTTCCTCGCATATACCATCAAACACAATTATCAGTCTGATATATTCTGATGTAACTGTAGAGAATCTCAATTGGCCGTATATCAAGGCCTAGCCGCCTGTCGCTCCAAAATTGTTTTGCATACTTCTGTCAAAATTAAATAAAACCATTAGTTCTCAGATCAAGCTGCTCGACTAACCGAGCTGAAGATCCAAGCGCATGCGTTTTTTGTTGCCTGCAGCGGATCAAGCTTTTCCTTTTACGCTTCCAAAAGTGTGTCCCAGAGAAGGTGGACGAGGGGTGTCAGAGGAGGCAGGTTCTCGACGATGGTCACGAGCGCTAGTTGCTATCCAAACACAAATAAACAGAGAAGGAACACTGGAGTTAATGGTAGAGGAGGGCGGAGGCGTGTCGAGGGCGGGCGATGTGCGCTCGGGAACCCCAAAGCCCTACAAAGTGAAGGACGGACCGGTGCGCACACACTCCAGTCCCAGCTCCGAGCGGGGCTCCCATGTTACTGCTTTAAACTCTCCAAACCCGCGCGTCTTTACTTGAACAACTTTTTACGAGCCTAATCTCCTGAGGGCTGAAGGTTCACTGCTGCAGCGCGGACAACGCGAAAGTTTCATGGACTTGAAACTTGGAAAACTTTTAGCCTGGCTTTTGATGAACTTGTCACGTAGTTGTCGTGGATTACTGATAAAGTGAAGGACATTTTGCATCAAAATATTGTGGTAAGAAAAAAACATCTTGCTTGAATTGTGTAGGCTATTGCAGGAGATGAACTGACACCTATCTGAAATTGTGTCTCGTTAAGGGGGGTTTGTGTAAAACATTACACAGATGAGAGAAATAGGTCATTATGTTGAATGGGGACTTTGCCTTGTGATGGCAGACATCATAGTTGAAATGTCTTCACATCAATGCGCTCTGTCCACTGCACGAAACATGAGGGGAACACGGGTGACCGCAGCGCGCACGATTTATTGTCACGACTTATACAAAACTCGTGCCATAAAGTGACGGGACGTTAAGTAGTAACGAGGCAATGGGATGCGGTCAAAGTTGATATGAAGTTTAACAGTTGTTGAGTGAGGAACAGAGTGAACAAAGCAGAACCTCGATCAGGGAAAGAACAAGTGCTGGAGGTTTCGTTGCACCTGTGCAGAGCGAACTCTCGCTTTATGCGTATTGTACGTATTATTATAAACGAGAGAAAGGGGTTTGGGCCTTTTCATGAGTTATCCTGTCGTTAGGGAAGGCGTTTGGTTTCAAGATGTTGCGGATATTCACTTTGCGAAAATCAAAAGATATAAACCTCATCTGACTCTTGCTTGATCTGCACGCTCATATGTTGTAATTCAAAATTACCATGGCCATTATTTGATATTTTTTCAGTTTCTTTAAACAACAAACTTAATGAAGTGCAAACATGAAAGCTCTAATAATCACAAACGCTTAAAAATATATATTCTTCATGTTGTATCTTTTGGCACTTATTTCTCAAGACTAAAACTATACAATATGCAACATTTTACAAACGTGTTGGACACAATATTTGGAAGAATTCGTATTCAAAGTGTCACCCCCGTATGCCTGATTTAACTAAAAATCTGTTTTATGTTTTCTCCCAGGAGGGCGTCAGAGTTTTTACCATCAATATGGGGAGCAAAGCACTGCACGCACCAATTCCGCTGCACCCGGCTCTGCAGCTCACCAACTATTCGTTCCTGCAGGCTGTCAATGCCTTCCCCGCGGACCAGCTGCAGGGGCTGTACGGCCTGAGCGCGGTCCAGACGATGCAAATGAACCATTGGACTCTTGGCTACCCACATATCCAGGGCCTACGCTCCACCATTACCGAGATGGCAGCGGCCCAAGGGCTGATGGACCCCCGTCTTCCTTTCCACGCGCTGCCCTTCACAGCCGCAGCCCAACTCTTTCACCCCAAACAAGGCATGAGTGCGCACGTTGTGCAGTCGCTACATAAAGACAGACCGAGGTTTGATTTTGCCAATCTGGCGCTTGCCGCGACGCAAGAAGACCCACCAAAAGCAGCAAACTTGTCCAAATTGACTTCAGGACTGGGAGGAACAATCTCTGAACTGAGCAAGCTCTCCCCAGAAAGAAAGCCCACACGGGGCAGGCTCCCGTCCAAGACTAAAAAGGAATTTATTTGCAAATTCTGCGGAAGGCATTTCACTAAATCGTACAACCTGCTCATCCATGAGCGGACCCACACTGACGAACGGCCGTACACCTGTGACATCTGCCATAAGGCCTTCAGGAGGCAGGACCACCTCAGAGATCACAGGTGGGGCTGCCTTCTATGCGTTCATTACGCACCACTAACATATTAACACTAGACATAGGCCCAATGCAGCGTAAAACCTGCAAATGATTTTGTTTAACCATATAACAAGGCATGCATGTTCCCCAAGACTACTCAATGAGGGCGCTAAAGCACGTTTAGTGAGAACTAAATCTTTTAGATTTTAGCCACTAATCTATACGCGCCAAAAATGTGATATTTATTTAGCACTTTATTTTAATTTCTATTTTTCTCATGTATTAATTGATTTGTTTTTTTGTTTTTTGTTTTTGTTTTTTTTGCAGATACATTCACTCCAAGGAAAAACCATTTAAATGTCAGGAATGCGGGAAGGGATTCTGTCAGTCTCGCACTCTTGCCGTTCATAAAACCTTACACATGCAGGTAAGTTTAGCATCACGAGACACTGTACTCCCTTATTGACCCCGAGTTTACTCCTGACCAACTGTAATAATGCCGTCTCTGGTGCATGCATGGGGAGGCCATTAGGCTGTTGCACTGTAAGAACCTATAGCCCATTTGCTAAAATTATTATGGGAACATTCAAGCAACCAATGCATTTCATTGAAGTGACTGAAAGATCTATCAATTTTATATAATTAAAAGGAATAATCCTTTGCTTGCTTTAAATCTAAACAGGAGTCTCCCCACAAATGCCCCACATGCGGAAGAACCTTTAATCAAAGAAGTAACCTGAAAACTCACCTTCTCACCCATACAGACATCAAGCCCTACAGCTGTGGCTGCTGCAGAAAGGTGTTTCGGCGCAACTGTGACTTGCGAAGGCACAGTTTGACGCACAGCCCACACCAGGACTACTAGCCTGCACGGACAGAGTAAACATGCGAAGGACAAACGCAAGAAAAAAAGCATCGGCTTTGCATTTTGGCCAAAGACATTATCCAATTCTGGACTGCTCTATTGACTGCAGAGGGATATGGCGCAACAACGGAGTATCATTTTTTGTAAATATATAGAACATGTAAATAATGTTTATCATGTCTTTAAAACAAAACAACTTAAACTATGTTAAATTGCATTGTAGAAATAAATATGTTGACGAAAATGTTGTCGTGCTTCATCACAAACGCTCATACACGCACACGTACATACACACACACACACACATACACACACACACACACACACACACACACACACACACACACACACACACAAACACACACAGATGCACACACATACGTGCATAGGCAAGCAATGGGCAAATAATACTAGAAAACAATTAACGTAATATTTTTATTTCAATTACCAATATTTATGTTTTACCCATTATCTGTAGTGCTGTACAATTAGTCATATAGTCTCTTGTCATCCGTAAATGTATGTGTTGTAGTCAAATGGTTTTCTGTCTTGGTGTTTTTGAAACCCTCGCATTCTTTCTAATCATTAGGCCTATACCCAGTCTGCCCAGGCCTCTTTAATGTTCTGTCTCTATTGCCTTCATGAGCTTCAGTTTTTATAGCTTCAGAACAAAGTCAGTAAAGTTTCATTGTAAGATCTAAATGATGATTTATCAGACGCTGTGATCGAGATGGACTTTTTCCCCCATATGAAACATACAATTTGTGTAAGCGTGCAGTTTATTTTTTTTCTTTTAGGATAACATATTATGAATGTATAATGATGATGATAATAATCATACAAATTATAATACTCAAAGCCATAATACATGAATAGTAATAATAATATGTGGGCTATGTTTTGGGGGAAAAAGCATTCTTCCGGAAAAGTGCACTGAAAGCACCGAAGGATAAACCAAACTTAATAAAGCGAGGCTTAATGCCATGGCGTCTATAAAACGAATCACTGTCCGATAGGCGAATAAGTTGAGCGGGGAATAGCTCAATATTGGGGCTCACACTCCCACGACAACCCATCAACACGCACCTTGTTTATTGTCAAACGGACAGGAGGAAAGCGAACTAGAGCCGAGTTTTATGGCGTTCAGGTCCCTCAGGATACGCAGCAGAGGTAATAGGCCTATAAAATTAAATGTTCACTAAACAAACCATTGCCAAGATAGTCTATTAATTCAGTTTGTTAATTATGCCTATTGTTTAAAGCGAGCGTTTAAGCCAATGACAGTTTGTAGAGGGCAGTAGACAATATATCAGGATTATAAGCATGAAGTTATTGGCGTTACGCATATTGCATTGCAGCGCATTTGTAGATATGATTAAACTCAATGTGAGACAGTCCAAAACAATTTCGGAAACGCCATTAGTTATAGGCTGTATCAAACACTGATTTACTACCCACATGACAGACACGTGTGGGGCTGCTCTCTCTATTTGGAAACACGACTTGAGTTTTATTTCCATGAAAAAGTCACCAGAATGTAAGGTAACGTAATTTTTAGAAGTAAGAGTAAATGATCGTTGAACCACAATATAAGTGGGTCAGATATGATTGCCTGAATATTTCCCTTTTGTTTGGGGACACAGATAATTTTGATTTGTTATATGAAATCAAAATATTACATGCTGTTTCTTTACCTTATCCTACAAGCCAGCTTCAAGGCTATTTCACTAAACACCACCCTCACCTTATCTTGGACTACCTTTGATCAGAAAGGTGAACACCTGGTGCGTTTATGGAAACGATGCTGAACAAAACCAGTTTGATTCTCTTGAGCGCTTATATGACCATTTAACCACATTAGTACATTCTATTTTGGGTGTACTTAACTGTTATTTTTCAAGTCAAAGCCCCAGACTGACCAATCTACTTGGGATATTATATGACATAGAAAATTCCCACTGCCGTGAACGCCACGGTCCGGAAGTGTGGAAGCTGCGCCTCGATGTTTACTGATGACGTTAGAGGAGAGCCACACGGCAATGATGCTAGCAGGCTAGCACTGACTTTCGGGATGATTTCGATGAATTAAGACTAGAGATTTTGAGAAATAGCCAGGGAGGAGAGGCAGTAATAAGGCAAGTCAGCATTTTATTTCATTGACACTCGTAGCAACATTCTTTAGCTGGTCGATTCAACTTCTTGTAGCAGATTGTTAGCTTAGCTTTTCATTCCTTGGTGTTTGGATGACTTGAAGAAGTGTACACTAGGCATACAAGAACACGCCTTGACACTATTCTACGCTTAGCTAAATGTTACTATCTGTAAAGCATTAGCGAATGCATTTTAGACCAACTTCTAGCGTTTGTACTGTAGATGTAACGGCAACTCCCCTTAAAGCCTTAGCTAACCTTTAACGATGGTTTATATACTGTTAGCTAGCTAATTCACGTTGTTAATTTGGAATAAGGCATAACCGGTATATACCTACATAAGAAGACAAATATTAAATGAATGTTATGTTTAATTACCCCGATAATAACTTGATAGCTTTCACTCAAACGTTTTCAGTGTCAAAGCTGTCAACCTCCAAACAGAAGACTATATTTAATTCAATATTCTTTCTGTTTCCAATATTAGGGCAAAGGCACGATGTTGGAGTCCTATGTTACACCGCTTCTGATGAGCTACGTCAACAAGTACATCAAAAACCTGAAACCATCAGACCTGCAGCTCTCTCTGTGGGGTGGGGATGTAGTCCTGAGCAAACTAGATCTCAAACTGGATGTACTGGAACAGGTACTTAAACATATATTTGACTTTTGGACACACCACATATCTAACTATCACACACTTTTTTGTATTCAAAGGAAGCATAAGGTTCAAAGCAGAGCCGATTTAATATTGGTTTATTAGTTTTGAGAAAGAAGATTTCACGTTAAACTATATGTGACAACATTTACTTAATTGGGACTGGCTTAACATGAATCCTCAGCCAGCTAACAATGACCTCTGATACGTTCTAGGGCTGGGCGATATAATATCGTTTGCGGTATTGCCGATATCTTTTTGACGGATGGTATGAAACTAATACCGCGATAGCATTTGTGTATGGTGATATTTACCTTTTGGTCCGAGCGCATGCAGAAACGGCAGTTACAATCAGAGGAACTTGGCAACAAGCTGCTATCTTAACTTAACTCGCATGTGAACAAATCAGATCTCAAACATGTTAACCTTTACATTGAGAGCAGATTGGCTGAGTGGGGATGTCCTTTTTTCTCTTTTCTGTCTGAAAAGCTGTGTCCAAAATACCTGCATGTTAAAATGAGCCAAACAGTTATTAAAGCGATCATAAAAAAAAAAGTTATACTGTTTTGAATATTTTTTCCAGTGCTCTTTCTATCATGAATTTTATTGTTATTGTGATATTTCCTTCTCAGCTCGTATATTTTTTGTCCGTATCGCCCAGTCCTAATACATTCACATAGTCATTAATGAACCAGTGTAAAAATAACAGCAGCTGAGTTCAGTATATAAATGACATGAGCTTCCAAGATTCTATGATTTGAAAATGTATGTGTTCCACAGTGGGGAAATGTCTGTGTTGCAGTGCACATACAGGACAGTAGTGTAAGAGTGAAAAAAAATAAAAATAACTAGCTGTAAATGTTTCTTGTTTGAGCGACTGTAACACAATATACTTTTCTGAACATACTGTAAAACATTGGTCTTCTCTTGTCTATAGGAGTTGAAGCTACCCTTTACTTTTATGAGTGGTCACATACATGAGTTGCGAATCCATGTACCCTGGACCAAATTAGGCTCCGAGCCCGTTGTCATCACTATCAACACCATGGAGTGTATTCTCAAACTTCGAGATGGAGCCCAGGTTAGTGATTTGCAAAAATGTTTTTTTTGTTGTTGCATTATTTAGCTTCAGACTTGTCCGTGGCAGTGGGAGATGTAACTTTAAAAAAAGTATATATTTGCACACCAAAAAAGTTATTAATGAGGTACAAATGCGAAGAGATTTCAAAAGTAAGAAGGCATTGCACACTGAAAATGTATTAATCTATCTGATCAAAGGAGTAGATCGACACAAGAAAACTTTTAAGTGCTATTACACAGACATTTCCATGATAAAGCGCAGCCTGTGTAATAGACACTTGTTACAGGTCACAGAAAGAGAAAAGGGTTTTCTGACCTCCACAGATGGAGATGCAGTGTGCATGTAAAGGTAGACCTCTCAAAGCTCAGTCTTCTCATAAGAAAAAGTTTAGCCAAAACATTAGTTTTCCTTGTTCAGGGGACCTCTTTCATGACTTCAGTGAGATGCAGTGGTGCTGTTCATGCACACACACAATCAACATGCATTGTGGTCTCATTTAAATCTTATTTTGTGCAGGCAGCTACTGCTTGGGTGCAATGGTCTGAAAAGTGCTATACATTTAAACCATATGTACCTGAGGTATCGGTTATCTACCATTGTTGATAGTGGTCAGCGCATTGGTCCAATACAACTGCAGGTTGTAAATGTTGTCTGGGAGGGACTTGGCAATACTTTGACAAAATTACAAATGACATGCAGATAAAATATTCCGTGTTATGTAAACCCAAGAGACATAATTTGGAATCCTGCCAAGAGTTGAAATCATTCTAGCATAAGAATTTAAATGAGTAGTGATCCACTGTACCTTTCTCTTGTGCAAAGGAAAGATCTGACCACCACTAACCGTGTGCTGTCGCCAAGAAATGGAAACGGCTTCCTACCGTTTAGATTTGTGTCATTTTGTAACCTGTACGGGTGATTTCGTTCATGATTATTTTTTGAAGCTCTATCGCCCATTGTAAAGACACCCAGGGGAAAAAAGTAATAGTTGTAGAATATTGTTGGTGATTTGTGTAGAGAACATCAACATTTGTTCTTATGTGTAATATAATACCTGTTCTTGTTTGCCTGCCCTGAACTAAGTAAGCTTCTTATTGGAAATGAAAAATGATCAGTGTATTAGTTTAATAGTTTATTTTAGAAACAACTATAAGATGCAGACCGACCTTTAGAAATATGCATGTGCCTTTTTAACTTAATTTCAGCTTTTGTTACTTCTACTGTTTTGAGAGTTGAGAGGGAGAGTGAGGGCTGCTGTGGGTGGGTTATGCCGGTCAAGTGCTCATCAGGATCCAAAGTGCAAAAATCTTATTATTAAAAGAAAAAAAGAAGGTCCGAGGCACAACTGACTTTAAAGTAAAAAATCCTTTATTTACTTGGGACACCGATGCGTTTCGACCACTTAGGTCTTCATCAGACCTACCCTGGTAAATAAAGAACTCAGAGAAGAGAACCAGCGTTTCCTTGAGGACAGTTGCTTAAATCACTTTAGTTAATGCAAGATTTCCATAGCCTGCGTCTTTTCATACCTGCTTTCTGTTAGTAATAATACAATTTTATATTTTGGAAGTGGAAACCAGCACAAGGTTTTGTTGCTTAAAATACATACAAATTAAATATTGACTGATTTAGGGTTTTTATGGCTTTGCCCGGATCTCTACCCGGACATTTGTTTGTACGACATTTACAAGCAATAATTAGAAGTAAGTAGGTTTGATTCCAACCCTAATCCATAATACCATCAAAACAATGTGCACATTTCCAGTTCTAAACATACGAACTGTGAACTCAAGAGTCTGTTTAAATCACAGTTCAGATTAATGTCTTGATTTTGAACATGCAACATGCAACATTGTTGACATTTTTGTCTTTATTTTTATTATTTAAGTGAAATTTCAAATTTGTTATCTGATTTATATACATCTTTTACACGCTTCCCAAGTGCACTTTGTTCGTAAAGCTCTCCTACATTGACCAATTAAGTGTTTTTCTCCTTTTGTTGCATAGCTCCCTACATTTTTTTATTTTTGATGTTGGTATGAAATGACCAACTATTTATTTAAACCTTTTGCGACACCGGTAAATGTAAAAAGTATCTGTTACCATTGTTGCTATTGAGCCGCTGGTGCTTCCTGGTGGGATGAGATTCTGTGGGTCCTCAGACAGTTCTCAGACACAGGAAAGAGCACAGGGAAAGTCCATGAGTCAAAGAGGGATTGATCCACAGTGTGCAGGATGCTGCTGTTCCACCGTTTAATCCCCTGCTCTCAGGCCATCCGGGACGCAAGCGCTTCGTCTCAAGTATTAGGGGAGATACTGAGGTCTGGGAAACAATTACCGGGCAGTTTAGACTAATGCTAGCCTTTTAGGCTCTTGACTTAAAAACAGAAGATTGAATTGCCCTCTTGTATTTCACTACGATTAAATTAAGTTATGCTTTATTTTTTACGAGGGAAACCTTCTGCATTTGACCCATCCTTCCAATGTCATGAGGGTGTCTCAGCTCTGCTTGTTCAGAAATGGATCATTTTACCAATGGCACATGGTTTTGGGGTGTGGGGGAAGGGTAAACCACGTTTCACTTGGAGACATGCTAAAATCCATAGCAGACTTTGTACTTCAAACTAGGACCTATTGTGATGGCGAGGTGTCTAACTTGTCCACCATGTTACTCACAAAATCTTATACCTGTTTTATTGATAGTTAGCATTTTTATTTGTATGTTTATATGATTATTAAAGCAGTTCTGTTTCGCTCTGATACATCTTAAGGATGTTCTCTGTACACTTCCTAAATCTACATGTACTGAGTAAACATTGTAACATACAACAAAGTACAATCTCAATTCTTTGTGGAATATTGTTGTCAAAGGTGTCGGTGCAATGAAGATTAAGCTACTCTGTTGATGTTGGACTCCAGGATCAGCCAGACACTGTTGTACAGGGGTCAACCATGGCCTTCCTGTGCTCTAACCCTCCATGGGTGCCCACTTAACCTCTGAGTAGGGGGTCCCCTTGCCTGCCACTCAGTGCACAGCACCCAGGCTTTTTATCTGATCTTATAGTTTTCAGTTTTCCAAAGTCTGACTTTATTTTTCTGTGTTATTTCCATTTGTCTCTAGTTCTTTTTGCTACTGTCAACAGCTGAGTTGATATGCCTTTAGGGGAAGCAGCCCCCCCTGATTCTCATTCCCTCTAGATTCTGTGTGTCCGTTCTGCACTCCCTGCACTGTGCCCTGCTGTGGCACTGGGAGGATCAGTTTACGCTGCAGCAGCTGAGCCAGACTTCATTTGTCCCTGGGTTTCCCTCGGAAAAGGCATGTTTCATCTCTAGAGAATTACTCACTGCCCACAGTGACATTGAGCGCTTAATTGCGCTACCTCCAAGTTTGTGAGTCTTGTCCTTTTGTGGCAGTTTGAATTGTTGAACCCAAGTCTTCTTTGTCTCGCTCTGCAGCAATTCAAATTCCAAATGTTCTGTGAGTTTACAGCAGCTAAAGACTGTTTCCAATTGTAATTTGTTACATTGTAGGGCATATTATTGGACAAGTCCGCTCCCAAAATCCTATGTGTTTAAGATGGGAATGTTCTTAGTTCACAGTGGCTCAGTTGGAAGAGTATTGGCCTTTGGGCCTGAAGGTTGTGGGTTCGAGCCCACCATGAGACCTACTTCATGACTCTCACTGATGACTGCTGTCGCTGTGTCCTTGGGCAAGACACTTAATCCCACTTTGCCTGAAGCTCCCGCCAGAAGATCAAGGCTCCTGTGGACTCACCACGTGCAGGAGGATCAGTGAGGGGCGTGAATTGGGTGCAGCTCTGACTACCCCCCCCCCACCCCCCCACCCCGACCCAGAATTGGATTAAGGGGAAGAAAATGGAGGGATGTTCTAAGTTCAATTGTAAATTATATTTTGACTTATACCTCAAGACATTTTTGTTATTCTAGCTCCTAGAGAGGTTGGGGATAAAATGTGGAAAAGGTAAACAAAGATTTCTCAATCTTTGAACATCTCTTGAAGCACTGTTAAATCCATTTTTTGGAAAAGGAATTACTTACTAAGACACGGCCTTACCAATTAAACTAACAAGATGAAAAGGAGCGCACCAATCAGAAATGCAATCATGAGCCTTAAGATGACTTGCTGCAAACTGCTGCAGGTGTGCTGAGGAATATCACATCCCATCTACACATGAGAATCAAATAGTATACATGCAGACGCACACAGACAATAAGGCAGATTACATGTCAATAACTCAACTAAAAATACCTTGTAGAGAGCAGACTTCTGTCAGGAAGTACCGTTGCAATGCTGGGTCCAGAAATGATCTGGATCATATAGGTATAAACCTTTTCTCCTCATAAATGTTATATATCCGGGTGTTTCTTGTTTGGGTGTATTTGGGAAATGGATTGGCAGTGGGAGGGTGAAAATAGTCATAAGGCAATAGCTATTTGCCCCGACTCCTATATCTGGCAAAACACTATGTATCGCAATTAGGGGTCGATAATCGATAATCAATTCGATTATCGATATGAATTTGCCAAGTATCAACATCGATTTTGAAAAAAAAAAAAAAATTATTCTATTTTTGCCATTAAATTGGCATATTGTATATTTATGACCAATATATCGATAATCGTCATATCGTAATAAAATTGTCATTGTGATAAAATCGTTATCGCAATATCGTTATCGCGATATCGTTATCGTGTTATCGTGATATCGTTATCGTGATATCGTTATCGTGGTATCTTTATCGTGATATCGTTATCGTGATGATATCGTTATCGTGATGATATCGTTATCGTGATGATATTGTTATCGTGATAATATTGTTATCGTGATAATATCGTTATCGTTATAATCAGAATCAGAATCAGAATAATTTTTATTGCCACGTAAGTAACAGGAGGTCACAGACTAGGAAATTGCTTTGGCTCAGTGCAACAGTCAAAAAGAGATAATAAAAATAAGAATAAAAAAACACTTCTAAAGAATACATTTAAATTTAAAATAGAGTTAGTTACTATTTACAATATACAAGTGCACATGGTGCACACAATGTAAGGTGACAGCAGTACAGTGAAGTAAAGTGACGTATGATGGGCAGTAAAGTGACTTTATAAAGGGCGGGGGGACAGGTTAAGAAGTGTTCAAGAGTCCAACAGCAGAGGGGGAGAAACTGTTCTTGTGGCGGGAGGTTCTAGTCCTGATGGACCGCAGCCTCCTGCCTGAGGGGAGTGGATGGAATAGTCCATGTGCAGGGTGAGAGGGGTCGGCTGTGATACGACCAGCCCGGCCTCGAGCTCGGGCGACGTACAGGTCCTGCAGCGATGGAAGGTTGCGGCCGATCACTTCCTCTGCAGAGCGCACAATGCGCTGTAGTCTCTGTTTGTCCCTGACTGTGGCTCCAGCAAACCACACGGTGACGGAGGAGGTGAGGATGGACTCGATGATGGCCGTGTAGAACTGCACCAACATCTGTGCAGGCAGCTTGGCTTTCCTGAGCTGCCGCAGGAAGTACATCCTCTGCTGGGCCTTCTTGATGAGGGAGCTGATGGTCGGCTCCCACTTGAGGTCCTGGGTGATGGTGGTGCCCAGGAAACGGAAGGACTCCACAGAGGTGATAGGGGAGTCCATCACGGAGGGTGGGGGCGGGGGGACAGTGCTCTTCCTGAAGTCCACAATCATCTCCACTGTCTTCTGGGCGTTCAGCTCCAGGTTGTTACCACTGCACCAGGACACCAGCCGGTCCACCTCCCTCCTGTAGGCGGACTCATCGTTGTTGGAGATGAGTCCAATGAGGGTGGTGTCGTCCGCGAACTTGATCAGCTTCACAGAGTCGTGGCTGGAGGTGCAGTGGTTGGTGTACAGGGAGAAGAGCAGGGGAGAAAGAACACAGCCCTGTGGGACTCCTGTATTTATAAACCGAGAGTCCGAGACATTCTTCCCCAGACGCACTTGCTGCTTCCTGTCTGTCAGGAAGTCAGTGATCCACCTGCAGGTGGAATCGGGCACGTTGAGCTGGGAGAGCTTGTCCTGGAGCAGGGATGGCAGGATCGTGTTGAAGGCAGAGCTGAAGTCCACGAACAGGACCCTGGCGTAGGTCCCCGGGGAGTCCAGGTGCTGTAGGATGTGGTGGAGGGCCAGGTTAATGGCGTCGTCTACAGATCTGTTGGCTCTGTAGGCGAACTGCAGGGGGTCCAGGAGGGGGGAGGTGAGGGACTTGAGATGGGAGAGAACCAGGCGTTCAAATGACTTCATGACGACAGACGTAAGTGCTACAGGTCTGTAGTCATTGAGTCCTGTGATCCTGGGCTTCTTCGGGACGGGGACAATGATGGAGGATTTGAAGCAGGCCGGGACATGGCAGGACTGCAGAGAGGTGTTGAAAATGTCCGTGAACACAGGAGTAAGCTCACTGGCGCAGTGTCTCAGAGTGGCCGGAGACACGTGGTCCGGGCCAGGAGCTTTGCGGGGGTGCAGCCTCAGGAAGAGTTGTTTAATGTCTTTAGAGGCTATTGTTAGGCTGGGGGCAGGGCTGATGGGTGGGTCGTTAGAGTAGTGGGGGGTGGGGGAGGGAGAGGTGTCAGGGGCAGTATCAAAGCGACTGAAAAATAAGTTCAGTTCGTCAGCTAGCTTGTGGTCATCAGCACAGGGGGGGGCTTTGGGTTTGTAGTTGGTGATCTCCCGTAGGCCCCTCCAGACAGAAGCAGTATCGTTGTTACCAAACTGCTCCTGTAGTCGTTCTCTGTGCCGGGACTTGGCTGCTTTCAGTTCTTTCCTGAACTGATATTTAGCTGCTTTGTAGCCGCTGCGGTCCCCCTCCCTGAAAGCAGACTCCTTTGCTTTCCTGAGCTGCCGGAGTTTAGCAGTGAACCAGGGTTTGTCGTTGTTATAGATGACCCTGGTCCTTGTTGGAATGATGCTATCCTCGCAGAAGTGGATGTATGACGTCACAGTGTCCATATATTCATCCAAGCTGTCTGTGGCAGCTCTGAAAAGGTCCCAGTCTGTAGATTCCATGCATGCGCGCAGCTCTTCCACAGCTTCATCAGACCACACTTTGGAGCTCCTCACTGCAGGTTTCGAGAGCTTTAGTCTCTGTCTGTAAGCAGGAACCAGATGTATCATGGAGTGATCTGAGAAGCCGAGGGCTGCTTTGGGAACAGCGCGAAAAGCTCCGCGTACGGTGGTGTAACAGTGATCCAGAGTGTTCTCCTCTCTGGTCGGGCATTTGATAAACTGTCTGTATTTGGGTAATTCCTGGCTCAAGTTTCCCTTGTTAAAATCCCCCAGGATAATAATCAGAGAGTCCTGGTATAAACGTTCCATACACAGTACTTGCTCTGCGAGTGCGCGCTGAGCCTCGCGCGCGTCCGCGCATGGCGGTATGTAAACAGAGGCAAGAATGAATGAAACAATTTCACGAGGGGAGTAATATGGTTTACAATGAATGAAAAGATATTCCAGAGCAGGAGAGCAGTGCTTGGAGATCACTGTCACATCGTTACACCAGTTTGTATTGACGTAGAAACACAGCCCACCGCCTCTGCTCTTCCCTGAGAGCGCACAATGGCGATCCGCGCGGAACAGCCCAAAGCCCTGCAGCTCCAGAGCGCAGTCCGGGATCCGCTCATTTAGCCAGGTCTCAATATATCGTTATCGTGAGCTTTGTATCGTGTATCGTATCGTATCGTGAGGTACCCTTAGGTTCCCACCCCTAATCGCAATACATAGATACAACATAGGTACTAAAGACAGAGACGCAGGTGAAACACATTAGGGTGGGGCAGACAGCAGATGATCAACACAAGGGAACTTGACAGGAAGTAAAAACAAAACAAAAATAATAATAAAATCCACACCATGATAACATTTTTGGCACACCAGACTAGAGATATTATTTTATTGGCGCTGATATGACCCCATTTTTTACATTATTTGCAATAGCACAACTATTCAATTGTATATGTGTTTGTGTTCTGGGTTGATTCTTTGTGTAATTTCACACTACATTAATCTTTTCGATATTTTTCAGGATGACCATGAAAGTGGCTCCAGCTCCACTAGTCGCAGTGTTTCCGAGAGCTCGAAGACCCTGGCCAAACCCCGACGCATCCAGCAGGCCACTCCAAGTGACCCAGACCTGCCCCCAGGTTAGTAAAGGCTTTAGGGTCCACAAATTACATTTAGATTCCATGACATTTTAGAAGCTGAGCTAAGCAGGTCCTAGTTTGTGCTGTGATGGGAGACCTTTGGGAAAACTTTATTTAATCGCAGCCTTTGATGTAAGCAAGTACACAATTCGGCTTTGTTGTAAAATCGTTTTAGCTCAATATTAAGATTTCATATGAACTGTATTTTAATAATGAGTCACAGGGTTCATACATTATCCTATTATAGAGCACAGAATCGGGTTATGGCCCCCTTTGGAGTTTTCACATAGGCCCGACTCGAGACAGCTCAGCACAGTTAGTTCACACACACCAAATTGAGCTGTCCCGAGTGTGGCTCTGCTTAAAAGTTACAACGTTTCTGAAGACCATTGTTTTGCATCCTCCATCTACGTCCTCCAGTATTGTGTTGTTCAACCAGGTGTGTGTTCAACCTCCCTAAAAAGGACGAGCCACCCCCTCACTGCATAGCGCCGAGCTGGTCCCCAAGAACCGGGTCTATGTGATAATGAGGTTACCCTGGAAGATTATTTTAAGCACAAATGGTGAACATTGTTTGAGAATATAGCATTTTTGTTAATGTTATTTCTTGTGTAGTGTTAAACTTGCACAAGACATTAACACAATTAGACCACCTGTGTATGTTATGAGCTTACTTTCACAATCTTAAATCTCAGCTATGCGCCGGTTTGCCTCCACTTCAAAACAACCAAAACAAAACATGTCGACACTAAAAAGCAGCCACTAGCAATTATCTAGTCATTTGGCCCTGAGCTTTCACATACTGAATGCATTTATCCTTCATGTTCTGCCTGTGGTGGAAAATAGTGATGTTAATTCATATGCCATGGGATTGGTAGCCACACAGAGACCAAAGACCAAGTGCTTCCACCTTTGTGTGATTCTGCAAGTGATTAAGTTTACAGCTGCTTGTGGGGTACCAACAGCCACCGTTTGTGAGAAATGCTTCTTTTAAGAGCCAGGGTATTCTATATTTATGGCTGTTTACATTATTCTGAATTATTACTAACCTGGGCGGCACGGTGGCTGAGTGGAAAGCACTCTCTCCTCTCAGCAAGAAGCAATCCCGGTCAGAACAGGGTCTTTCTGAGTGGAGTTTGCATGTTCTTCCCGTGCCTGCGTAAGTTTCCTCCAGGTGCTCCGGTTTCCCCTACCACTAAAAACATGCTCACTAGGTTGTCCTGACCAAGCCGAGCATCAACATCTGGAGATGGGTTCCCAGGCACTGTACTACGACGACCACTGCTCCTGACGTAAGCCTTTGCGGCATCAGGATGGGTCAAATGCAGAGGATTGAATTGCCCTACGAGGATTAATAAAGTGAAAAAAAGCATTAATAACGTGTACAGACATATGTTTACTCAAACACCACATATAATTTTTCTTTTTGTGTAAGAACCGCAAAGGTAGCGCTGATAACTGTTGATCACTGACTTTTCACACCTGTATGGGTTTCTTATTGTCCAATGGAGGACAAAGTTGCACGGAACATTTCCTGAAAAGTAGTGGGTATGTACACTACACTGATTATTAAAGCATGATGCTTTAATAATCAGTTAGAATTGGAGTCAGAAATGCACATTCATGGAGTTTTTATTTTTATTATGATCAATCAAGTAACACAAATAGAAAAATAATAAATAATTAAGCCAAATTAAGCGGCCAAAAATAAAAATAAATAAATGGTGCTCCGCGGCCATGCGTTCTCTATCGGCCTTTGGATCCCCTGGATGAACTGAAGAAGCCGTCTGGGGTGTCATGCTGTTTGAGTAGAATTTTTTTTTTTATTTTTTTTTTAAAGAAGGCGAAAAAGCTTGTCTTTACATTTTATTTCATGCCAGATACATATATATTTTTTGCAGCCCTTCACTCTTCCCTGTATTGAACTTACCCCAGGGAGGTGCTTGCTATAGCTACTGTAACCCAAACACAGTGTATAATTCCTACTGTGTTGCTTCTGTGTATATTTATTTAAGAGAGATGGATACTTTCAGCTTTTGACTTTGAGGGTCTCACAAAATGTGCTAGCCCTGCTGTGCTTGTGATTGGAAGATGAAGATTTGTGAGCAATGAAATACAAACACTCCCTACAACCCTGGTACTGGGGCTCCTGAAATCTTAAGAAAATAAATGAAGCATGTTCTGGCATTACTGGGTAAGTTTTCACACAATAATGATTTTTTCCAAGGTTGTCTGCCCTTGTTCTACCACCATTGTAGCACAGCACTGTTTTTTTTTATTTTCACAGATCCCACGTTAAAAAACAATATTGAGCTTGCACCAGGCTTGATGGGGAAATGCATGAATCCATTTAAAGCGTTATCAGGCCACTCTTCTCTTTCAATGTTGGGGATTTGACTTTTTGATGTGTTCAGTCGATGATATTTGTCAGCTATATGCATGCATTGTTAGTGGGGAACCCCCAGGGCTGGCAAAGCCCTTTTATTATTAAAGGAATAGTTCACCGTTTTTACATACTGACAAATGTTCTTACCTTACCTTAGACTAGTTAATACGTACCTGTCTGGTCTTAGTCCGTGCGCTCTGTCATGCAAACGGAGCAAAAACGGGAGCACAACCGCAGCCTCCTCTGTATATTTTGTAGCACCAAAAGGTAGCTCCCGCTAGAAGCTACCAAACTCTTCCAAGTGTTCCCTATTAAATGTATATAGTTACGTGACGTGTTACACTGCAAAGTATAGTAACACAGAAATGTAACAGTCGATTTTCTCAGCGGATAAAACGGGTACTATATTGTGAGGCGTAGTAATCTGAGGGGCGCTACGTCCGCGCACTAACTTCTCTCCGGAGACTTCTCTCTCGCTCCGTCAATAGAAGCAGCGTGACTTGTAATACACACAGTAGCAGCGAGAGAGAAGTCTCCGGAGAGAAGTTAGTGCGCGGACGTAGCGCTCCTAACTTCTCTGCTGCGGTTGTGCTCCCGTTTTTGCTCCGTTTGCATGACAGAGCGCACGGACTAAGACCAGACAGGTACGTATTAACTAGTCTAAGGTAAGGTAAGAACATATGTCAGTATGTAAAAACGGTGAACTATTCCTTTAAAAACTTTTTTTATCATCCAACATAATAAAATTGAATTGCGTCCTACTTTGGATAATGATAGATGTGACGATTGTGGCTCTTGGCCTATAACCAGTTAGCTACCCCTGATCTACAGTGCTAAAGCGTATAAAAGCCACTGTATTATTTACTGGTTTCATTCTCGCTGGTCACCCTCAACTCAACTCAACTCAAAAGTTTTATATTCCCCATGGGGAAAATTGTTTGCATGTGGTGGAGCAATACAATACAATAATACAATAATCACAGTGAGTATGGCACACATCATGGCCCATCACAACTTAATCAAGAGGAAACATGTCTAGATCTTTAAAAGTGTCTATTCAACAGATTAACTGCAGAGACCACAAATGAACATTTAAAACTATTTGCTCTAGCCATCTTCTCCCAGAGGGGAGCAGCTCAAACTCCAACCTCAGGGGGTGGTCACAGATGGACAAAACAGACTGAACTTTGTTCAGGACCTGTCTTTCATATATTTGCGTCAGATACATTTGTTGTTGGCCAATTATACGATTGGCCTCAGACACAATTTTTCCCGTTCGACTTCTGTTTTGGACAGACAGGTTTCCGTAAAAGGAAACTAAACAGAAAGACAGAACAGACTTGATAAAAGACCTATAAAAAATCATAATCAGGGAGTTGCCACATCAACTTTAGTGTGCGTAAAAAGTACATTCGTTGTGCCCCTTTCTTACAGATCTGGAAAGTGTTCTCATCAAACCTCAGACGATTGTCTATGATGGTTCCCAGATACTTGTATGACTCCACTGTCTCCACTGCACAGCTGTGGATGACAGTTGGGGGCAGTGAGAGTTGTGAAGCCTTCCCAAAGTTAAGGACCATTTCTTTAGTATTATTCACATTCTGGACAAAGTCTTCCATGACTGGTCCATGCTCCACTTCTCCATCCTGCAGCAGACTGACCAGGCCTGTGTCATCTGCAAACTTCAAACCCTTTGATATAGTCTATTAAGTTAAGCATCTGAACTAGTCAACTAAACTGAGCTGGTCGAGAGATTAGTTTGTGACCTTGGGATAAACCCTTTTAAATGTTAATTCATGAAAAAAGTAACTTAAAAAAAAACTGCTCAGATGAGAGTGCTTGGCCAGCTCTGACAATTTCATTAAGAAACATTTTTCCACAAATTTTATGGTTGAGTGGTTAAAAGTGGATGGCTTCCCTGCTGGCCACGTTACAGGTCACATTGTCAATTGTTTACAGAAGTTTACATTTAAGTCTTGCTGCTGGACTATAGGGGTAGGGGAAATGGCAAGTGTACTAATTGTACTAGGGAAAGAAATTTATTTTGACTGAGATCCAGAGAGGGATATAACAGTGCGTATGTGCTGGTTTTACTGCTTAAGCTGCAGGTGCAACTCCGGATTGTAAGCGACCCCACAACCACAACCCTTTTACACAGTTGCATTCATGCACGCATTAGAGGAGCACGGCTTACCTCCACAAGGACGCTGCGCATGCCCAGCCGTCCACACATGTCACGAAACGCGCATTATGTTTATGAGTGCAGTTTACATTATGTCACCCGCTCTTCCTGCTGCATTATTTGTCCAAGCACCACTTTCAAGACTGTTGGATCAATTGGATTATTCTTATGTGTATGGAATGTATGCAAGTCACCAAAATATTTCACTTCAACAGTACCATTTAAGTTTATAGCCCAGTTATCTGTAGTGTTATTGCCAACCAGGCCTATAGATACAGAAAGACCAAAATTTACTTTGGAAACTATATTGGCATTACCGGCTTTGTGTGTTTAAAGTACTTGGAAGAAATTAATATTGCCACTGGTCCAGTCGTTTGGAAGATAGAATGTATATTTTTGTGTTGAAACTCCTGTGTCTGTAGTAATGACACACACACACGTTTGTTTTTCCTGTGTAGCTTCTGTTCAATGGCTCCCCCAGCACTGAAACTAAATCTGCCACACTGGGCCTACCTCAGTCTTTTCAAATCCCTGCTCCTCTTCATCACAAAACTCCCTACATTCCACTGTTACAGGCAATTTACAGTAATAATAATACAATATAACCTAAAATACATGAAGTAAAAACATGTCTTGGATGTGTATTATTCATAGCTGAATTGTAAGAAGAGAGGGAACTAACAAATATTATGTGTGCTTATTGCAGGCTATGTACAGAGTCTAATCAGGCGTGTGGTGAACAATGTCAATATCGTGGTGAACAACCTAATCCTGAAGTATGTGGAGGATGACATTGTGTTGTCCGTCAACATCACTGCAGCCGAATGCTACACTGTGGATGACATGTGGGAGAGGGCTTTCATGGACATCACTGGTAAAGCACTCGAGTTATAAAGTCGGTGAAGTCGAATTATGTTTTAGCAAAATGTGTCGATTATTGAGGATTTCTAGGATACGTTTAACCCTATCCATTTTACATTTGTTCTTTTAACTGATTTTGTTCTGCTAAAATACCCTAAATTTAACCTGCTTCATATCATACAAAAAAACAAGAAGAACATTGACCCTTCTTGCAATTTAGTTTTAGTTTTATGGGTGTACAAAAAAGACTTCAAATAATTGTTTTTCATTTGTTGATATGTTGTATAGTAAGAGAAACCCCCATATTGCAAACAGATTTTTTATTTTTTATATAATCTTTAATAAATATATTATAAACACTAATTCAATGGGACAGTGTACTTTGTTAAGTTCTATCATACTGAATGTATATGTGTATATATATATATTTATATATATATATATATATATATACGTAGATACAAATCTTATTGGCAAACTCTAAAAGATACCCAACTCTAAATGTATGCTTGTGTAATTCATGCTTGCAGCGTAAAAGCTGAAAATCAACGGAATAAAGTAATCTTTCATTAGTTCTTTTTAATTTTTCCGATTTTCTATGATGTAACTTACTTATTCAATACACTCTGCCATGTTCCTCATTTTAATATAATTTGTATGTTTTAGCTCCAGATCTTGTGCTCCGAAAGGTCATTAACTTTGCCGACTGTACGGTTTGCCTGGACAAGAGGAATGCCAGTGGGAAGATTGAGTTTTACCAAGATCCTCTGTTGTACAAGTGCTCTTTCAGGACACGGCTTCACTTTACTTATGACAACATCAATTCTAAGATCCCATCAGTCATCAAAGTGAGAACAGTGTAGATGAAAATTATTCATCCTATTGTGTATAGATAATCAGTAGTCTGAAATGTGTTATTTCACTGTTTAATCTAATTTTGAATCCTTTCTTAGATTCAAACAATGGTTGAAAGTCTGAAGTTGTCAATCACTGATCAGCAGTTACCAATGTTCATCCGAATATTGGAGCTGATCATTGCTCTCTACTATGGAGAAATTGGAGGGCACAAAGATGGAGAAGAAGAGGGAGTTGGCCATGCCAAAGAAGCTGCATTAAATTTGTCTGGTAAGATTTTTATTTTACCAGATAAAAAAAAAATGCCTGCCACTATTTTTATCATAATAACTAATAATAAATCATAACTTTTTGAATTATTATGCTAATTATGTGAGGATTTTTGCAAAATGTTCCGTGATTCCTGGGAATGGAATATGGAACAATTGATTAGAATTTGGGAGTGATCCGGATCACCGTCTGAATCTCTTGTCAGGTCTGGCTCTTTGAGTGCTTTTCTAGTTAGTACTGATAATACATTTTGAGTGAAAGGTAAGTTTTCAGGCCTGCTATATTAACAAACACACCCATAACAAGTAACCCAACACAATCCTCAAGGTGCTAAAATGGTGCTCATCATTTTTTCATGTAGGCAAACCCTTGTTTATTATACCTCATGATGTGTCCGTTTAGGTATAATAAAATATGTATGATTGAGTATGAATTTTTTATATGGGGTTTATTTGATTGGATGCACAGTATATTACTAATTACTTGGCAAACCAGAGATTAAAGTTTAATTCCCCCCCTTTACACCTTTAGGCTTACCCTGCCAGAGTTGGCTGCGGAGATGCACTTCAACACAATGCGGGCTGTTCATTCACTCCTCTTCCTCAGGGTCTGACTCTTGGCCTGGAAGTTTTCTGCTTGTTGGCACGATTTCCACTTTAGTGACCAATGCCAGATGTACAAGTCAGTGTCATGCTCCTGCTATGCAGGGCCCGGAGGAATTAGGATCTTATCGCAAAAAAATATAAAGGCTCTTGTAATCACAAAATGCATTCGTTGGCAAAACAGAGAGCGAAGTGTGTCTGAAGTAAAATGTCATCTCTATTCAAATAATCAAACACACTGTAAAAAGACCTTTATTTTTTATCACTGTCTGAAATGAAAGTTCTGATTTTGAAGAAAGTCACTTGTTAGACCTCTACAAACGCAGACTTCCTTTCCTCCAAAAAAATACGGGATCCAAACTGTGATTGCGATTGCCTCCAAAATACCCATGGTAATTACATTACCCCCTGGCAGAAGTAATACAAAATTCTGAAGACTATTGTGGCATTTAGCCAATAGCAATAATATTGGCATAAAAACGGACCGATAATAATTATGTAAATGACATGTCTTCTGTTTTCTTCTGTCCATAGATAGAGTATGGTTACATTGAAATGTATTTTAGTCTTGTGGGTATTGTCTTTCTGGTTATTCTTTTACTATTTTGTAATTCAAATATTTAAGATTAAATTTGTTTATTTTTCAAAATATGATAAATCAGGACATAAATCTTAAACAATGTTAGTCTAGCTCAAAATGGTTTATATATATTTTTAAACTTTTGTTTACGTCTAAAGGCAGCAAGTGGAAGAAAAGTCAATATGAAAAGAAAGGGCAAGGGATACTATATACATTAATTTTGCACAATATATAGATTAAACAGTCGTATTTGTCAGAAAAGGCACTGCTTGTTATTAGTTAATTAGTATATATGCATGTTTACTATATTGTTGAATATAATATTTATTAGAAAGGCACAAAACTATTATTTGTTACTACGGCAACAATGTAATAAATGAGCAGCTGTTAGCCATGCCGGAACTCCCTCTTTTGACCAACGGCAAACAAGGCACCTATTTTACACTCTTGATTTATAAAAATACATTAACAAAAATTTAATGGCAAAGTATAAGCCCACATGCATATGTTAGAATGCAGTCCAAAAATAAACTTCTGTTCAAACATGGAGGGACACCTGCTGGTCTTAAAGGGCACTGCCAACTGTCAAGCCTGTGCAGGAAGGTGTCTAAAAAGCCAAGCATAATAATACATGCATAATGTTGCTAAAACAGTGGATTTGCGTATCATTAAGTAAGCTTCAATCTTAGATATTCACTGTATATTCTTTACAAGAATAGTTACAGACCAGTGTTTTTGTGAAATTCCCTGATGTGGCACTAATAAAAGATTAATTGACATGATTTGACTAGCCCCGTTTCTCTTATCATTGAAGATTAATGCCCCTTTTAATGCTAATCTGCCCCTTTTTGACCTGCACATTGCTAATTTTGCTTTGTTTTGATTCTTAATTCAACCCCAGCCGTCGTCAAGGTGTTCGATGAAGCGAAAGAGCTTAACCCGTTGAACTGACACCTCAAAGACTTCAATGGTGTAAAAACAAAGACGGGGATAAAACAAAATGTGATAACATCTTTAAGCGAATATTGCCTGAGTGAAAAAGTATAGAAGCTTTCCTAAATATGTAACGCACAACCTGATAGATTTAATTAAAATATGTCATAATTTTCACCGCCTTGGCCGCTGGGATTCTTAAGCTGTGACCTAACGGACAATATTGTTTTCTGGTGGAGGACGTGAGGCCATGAGGAATGGTATTACACATTCTTGTGTATTGAGATCAGCTTCCTCTCTTTCGTTGCGTATGGAAACGGACACGATGGGATGAGTTCAAGGGTCAGCATCAGAGAGAGCGACTGGTATATTAGGAAACATTTGACACCCCTTACTTCTTAACTTAGTGTTTTGATAGGTAATCACGAATACCTACACCATTACTTGTGATTATCAGCGACACATGCCCCTCGCAGGATTTGTTGAAACCCACATTCACACTTAGTTATTTTACCTTAACTTAACTTTACCTCACTTTTTCATTCTTTTTCATGGTCAACAGTCTACCTCACTTTATCTTGTCATTACACATATTCACTTACTATATTACTATCACTATAACACAATAAAGTCTAAAATCAACTTCTTCTAGAAAGTACTACTTAGGTATGAACCAAGTCTAAACCAGGACTAGCTGAAACAATTAATAGTTAATTAATTGATTACAAATATGCTTCAATCACAATTTAGCTCACTTGAATGATTTGTTAATTTATACAACTACTGTTGCATATAAAACACAGTTATCATGAACAATATGCAATATGTCAGAATGTGCAACATTGGAAGAAAAGTGTCCACTCCAACATACCTCAGAAGGAGATAAGCTGTATATATTTTTTATATGATATTAATCATACTTGTCCTAAAATATATGTTAACCCTTTACGTGCCAAAATAGCAGAATTGCTATTACTGTTCTACTGCAGCCTTGCTTCCCATAAACATTTCCCATCTTTCTTACTTTTTTTCTTATTTTATTTCTGTCATTCATTATAGTAGTCCTCCGTCTCAGATTCAGGCCTCCACCTGTTTCACATCAAATTATCTAAAAAACAATGTCAATTAGATTATTGATTACTTTTACTACTTTTAAAATGATTGTTAGCTGCAGCCCAATTTTCACTGGCTATTGGTGCAGATTTGGTTCCTGGGCCACAAGTTGAAGTGGCCTTGCACAGACAGTAACTATTCATTTTTTTAAAAGAATTGTTTGGACCTCAGAAAATTTGAAAGGCACTTTAGTGGATGTTCACTTTTACTATATTCCTCGCCACTATGGGCTTTGTCTAACCCTACTGTTTTCATCACTTATGCTTTGCGCGCTTTTCTTTTGCGCAGGTATGGATGTGAACATGGATAGCTCTATGTCCAGTCCAGACATCTACATGCACTCAGGGGAGCCAGACGAGGGCTGGGTGTCCTGGGCTTGGTCCTTTGTCCCAGCTATTGTAGGAGAGGAGGAAGGTGAAGAATACCTTCATCAAGATCAAGAAGAAGGAGGCAGTGAAAAAATTCTTCATCACCACACTCCTAAAGACCCCATAGTGTCTATTGGTTTCTACTGTACCAAGGCTTCAATTACGTTCAAAGTATGTCCTAAGTAACTGCTCAAATGTTTCATACACTTTCCATCGTCTAACATAAGACCGAAACTGACGGTATTATCTTTTGTGTATGTATATGTAATTAATGTTGTATAATCGATCTTTTGTATACAGTAGTTTATTGTAGACTTTAAAAAGTAACAGTTGTTGCAAGATCACAGATTAGAAAACATTTGAATTCAAATGTGCTTCCTGATATGTACTACATCACTATATGCTCCTTGTTTTTCATATAATTTTAATGTTCCTTTGTCTGTATCTCTTTTAGTTGACTGAGACCCAGTCAGAAAGCAGCTATTACAGTCCTCAGAAAGTCAAGTCCAGAGAGGTGTTGTGTGTGGAAAAAGAAGGAATTACTATTGAGGTAAGCACACTGGTTACTTGCTGCTCTGCCATTGCAAGTATAGAATGTATGCAATCTGACTTTAAAACAAAAACACAAGTAAATAGGCTTGAGCAAGCTCCAGGTTAGAACACTTCTCCAGACTGTTAAAACACGTAGCATGTTTTTTGGATGGTAGTTTTGAGCAGTGGCTCCTTCCTGACTATGGCTAGTCTTGTCTTATTGTGGATTTTGATACTTTTTTACGTTCCCTCCAACAGCTTTTTGACCTTAGTTAAAATCTTGGAGACAGAATGTCCATGAGCGATATCCTGGCTCTGTAATGAACGAGATACCTTCAGCCGTTTAGACATTTCTCCCAGGGATAACCAGGGGCTTGGCAGAATTATTTGGTTTTCCAATGATGGTAAAGAGAAAGACACTAAGTTTGTTTCTGATGCCATTTAGAGGTGCACCTCAAATTGGACCAAATTATGTAAGTTGGCCAGGATGTCAATGGCTTCTGAAGCTATAGAAGTTATTAAGTTATTAATTAAGGCAATTTAAGGAAGTACACTTCTGACCTTCTGATAATGATAGTTTGATAGAATTAACAAACATTTAAATGAAATAGAATTATATCATAAATTGTAGAATTTATTCAGGAAGTCTGAGATTTTGTGGTTATGACCATTGATGGTTGAGACAATGTGATCTATGCTGTATTAAGGTTTTGACCGTAAAGAGTTGAATGTCCTTAAACCCTGTGTGTGTTCTAGGTGCTGATGATGGGAGAACCCTTCTTCAATTGTCAGATTGGTTTTGTGGGCTGTCAGGCTTTGTGCCTGAAAAGCATCATGGGAGTTCAAGACTTTGAGGAAAGCATGAACCGACATGAAAAGGTAAGGATTAAACTTAATTGTATCAGCTGACATTGGCCCGGACAGTTTTTGCACCTCCGCATTAGATCCAGTACTTGTTCTTCTTTTTCTCATTTAACAAATGCAACTTGGTTCAATAGAACCTACACTGCAAACAAAATATTTTTTCAACACAATGGCTGAGCGTAATGTCATTCTTACTTCTAAGTATTTTTTATTTTTTTTTTATTCTTGTTTTAGTCATTATCCAAATTCTGTTCATACATAACATTGACATAACATAACATCTTATCTTGTTAGTTCTGTTATTTGTGGCGCAAAATAGAAATGGTTTTGCTTATCTTATCTTACTTTATCTCATTACCTTCTTCTATGTTTTTTGTATTGAATAGGATGCTGTGTTCTTCACATGTGGTGACAGCCTCAGCAGTAAAGGAATGACATACCTTACGAACTCCCTGTTTGACTATAGAAGTCCAGAGAATAACGGAGTGAGAGCAGAGTTCATCCTGGATGCTGCTCGTCATAAGGTTTTCACACTTTTTACATCTTGTGTTTCTTTCTGTGTATAGCTGTGGGCAGATGTTGTCATGTTTATATTATACCTCACTGCTGTGTTCAACATCAAAACAAAAATTCAGAACCCTCCAAATATAAGTAATACATGCATTGATAATTTAACATAACATATCACTGTCCAGTGTGTGTCTTAATGCTCTACCTGTTAGGTTTTAATGTGTATATATCTTATAGAAACAAGTCTTCTAGCTATCAGTTTGAAATCTGTTTTGGCAAGGAGCTCTTGTTGTACCTTTTACTGTTTACTGAACTTCATTGACTCTCAATGAAGCAATTGTTTGTACTGTCATGCATCTATAATATTATCATTGATCAGCCAATACTTAAAACTCAAGCGTTGAGGGATTCATTCTTTAGCACGTTGAAAACTTTGATCCAAGGGCCTGTCATCGCTAGTAAGGCAAGTTAGTAGTAGTAGTAGAATTGCCCTAATAAATATTACTGATTAACTCTCTGATAACAGCCCATTGAGAAGGTTGTTTAAATAACTAGTGAGTGTGTTTGAGTTGTCCCTCTCCCGCTCCCTTTTTAACAAAGTTTGCCAAATGTTTGATGTTTCGATTTGTTGGGATGGAAAATATCTAGATATTTACAGAACTTATTTTTTCTCACTTTTTTGTTTGTTTTTTGTTCACTTAATTTCAGTAATTAAATAATTATATACAACATTAGGGAATTACACTTCCTTTAACCTTGCTGTTGAGGTTGAGGCTCATAACAGGCTTATCATCTTAGTAATAACAAAATAACCGTATTTTTATGTTTTTTTATAATGTACTGTTAATCTTTCCAAAAGGCCTAAGGTGTTCTCAGTCTGAATTGTCCTGTTTCCCTACTGGGTAGTCTGCACTGCTGTTCAGCATAAAAAAGGAGTGCAATTAAAAACTAAATATTACGAAATAGAATTTCACAATTTATTGTGAAACATTGGTTAAACTCCCGTAAATTCCAATTTATCTACTTTCTTCGTCAACTTTCAGATGATAAGACCTACTTAGCTTTGTTTCTGGTGGCACACTTCCAAGTATGAGCGAATGTGCTCACTATCTGCTTACTTATCTAATTATTTTTGAGCAGAACATGTTTCCTTGGCACTTTGACTAGTCTTGTACACTTTTTACTTTTTTAAGTAAGTAAGTAAGTAAGTAAGCTTTATTTATTTACCGCCTTTCACAGACCAGAGTCACAAAGCGGTTTACAATTGTTATTTTTTTGGGCACTTGTCTTCTCACTCCACACAGAGATGGGAGTGGGGTTTTAAAATCTGTTCTCCCAGAAATGAAAGAAATGTGAAATCGTTTTGAACAAATGGAGGTATCTAAAAAAACAAACAAAACACATACAAGACACAACAGTTTATTTAACAGCCTGCGGTAGTCTGCATCTGAAATAAACTACCTTTTAGTTATCATAATCACGGTTGATGTTTACTCCAGTACATTTCCTATGTTATCTGTTCATTGATCTTATCCGTTGAATCCAGCGTGACCTATGTCACTGGGCACTATCAAAGGCTATCAGAATGTTTGCACGGTTCTGCCATGTTTACCCACTTCTATTCTTTTTGTTTCTCAGGAGACCTACACCGAGATAGCTGGCATGCAGCGTTTTGGTGCTTTCTACATGGATTACCTCTACACAATGGAGAACAGCAGTGACAAAGGTAATGCATAGATTAGATTGTTTAGTTTGTGTGTTTACTGTACCTCTTCAGGTTGTATAGGGATGCACAATCCATCATATATTTTTTATCATCACATTCACTAGTCGTTATTTAACTATTATTTCATTAGTAATGAAAACTACACATCAAACAAAAATGTAACTTTGAGATGTTGCCTTGAGATTTCATTCAGCTCAAAATTAAAACCAGTGCTCTTGTCAGTGTTGTTGATGTATACTTTGGTTCTTGTTCTTGATCTATTTATTTACTATTTGATTCTGATTTCAGATTTAATTGTGTTTATTTTTTTATGTAGTGTTGGCTTAGTTTTTTTAAAATCGGGTTTTAATTTTAAGATTGATTTTTGACCTAAAAAACGTACTCATAAGTGTTTAATAAATGCCTTGGACGCCTTGTTTCAAAAAGATCTTTTAATTAATTTAATTTTGTGCCTTATACCGGTTCCTGTTTGTGCCTCACCACCTTTGTTTGTCCCTGGTGTCAGATCAGCTCCTTGGAGAAGTGAATAAAGAGTTTGTCTTGTTTGAGCCACAGCCACCTGGTCCTTGACCCCTCCTGTCCTCCCGCTCACCCCAAACTTACCTGGAGGGCAGCTGTCAGAATTGTTTAGTCTTTGCTGACACATATTTGAGTTTCTTTCTCCTTGCTGCTTGTTGAAACACTGTGTCTCTACCTGTAAGCTATTGAGAAAGTGAATGGGCCCCTTATGCCTAATTAGGTGTCACTCTTGCTGGAAGACGGCTAAAGACGGGCAAGATTCCTCTGTTCTCAGTCAGTGCACTCGACAATGTTTATTCAAGATGTAAGGATCTGAAGTTATTTGCAGATAAATATTTACCATAGTTGAAAATTAAAATGGCTCTTTGATGTTGGAGTGTGAAGTGATCTATTTTCCAAATGACTGACTCTTTTACTGTAGTTAAATTGATTTAGAGCAAGGTTCCAACACAAATACAGGGAGCATTACATTTTTTCACCTGCTATCATAGAAATGGTGTGTACTATTAGGATATTATTTTTATTTTATTTTATAGATTGTTGAAAATATGTCAATTGATTTGTTTCTAGCATTGCCTCTGACTATTGGATCGTTTCCTCCTGTCTGTCAGCTACAGATATGCATCTAAATTAAAAAAGAGACTGTCAAATCTGCGTTGGATGTTAAACCGAGTGGCCACGTAGCCTTCTCGGTTTTTCCCTTTGGAGCAGATCCAGTGTTGAACAAACAAATTGGTCTCAATTTCGAGGGGATATATAAATTGGTCTCAACTTATCCAGGGCATATATATATATATATATATATATATATGCAATACTTTTTTCATTTATTGGGATATTCTAAAATACAGCTTTTAAAAAGCTCATTTTCCGCTTCTTCATTCCGCTAATCATTCTATATGCTGCCTTATGCTATTTAACCTGTCCATTGCAACCTCACTGCCAATGATTTTACAGAGATGAGTATTAGCTGTTGACAGTTTGGTAATGGTTCTATCAAACAGCACTTTGCCTCTGTTTTCATTTTAGGCCAACAGGTATGTGTCAATTTTTTTTTTATTTCAAGCTTATGGTGTAGATATTTTATGTTTCGATACGTATTTATTTAAATGTTACGATGGTCAGCTATCACATATTAGTTTTAGTTTCATGCACTTTTGCTCATGCACACACACGTGCACACACTATAGTTCTCTTTAAGTGCATTTTATAATGTAATGTAATGAATGAACATACTAAAGCTGGTCCTGTACTTCCAACTTCCATCTCGCCACCCTTTTAATATCGTCCTTTTACTGTTGGGAAGTCTTTTAAGTCGACCTCTGTTGTGGAGGTCTCTGATGAATGAAGAGACAGCTGTGAGCGGGAAGTGGACATTTGGAATATTCATCATTCCATTCTCTAAGATCCTCTGAGCTGCTGCTGCTGCGTTACACCAGACCAGACTCTCTTTTTTACTTTTTCATTCAACACTTCAGCTTCAATACTTCATCAAATTGGTCATTGTGTGTATAGTATTACAATCTCAACCATGAATATACCAATGCAAAAATCTGAAGATGGCAAAGAATACATTTCTGTTTGCAGATACGCAGGAGATTTCACTTATGAGTGTGGAGGAGGTTGTCCCATCCTTTCAAGAGACGTCGATTAAGCGGCTTGTAGTTGGGCCTCTGGACATTAGGCTTCAAAGCAGTGCAATTCACCGTATTCTCAAGATGGTTACATGTGCCATGGATCACGAGTACGAGCCCTACTGCAAACCCCAGCAAGGTGAGCCTGAACAACTTAATTTATATAGTGAACTTGCATATATAGTGAGAACTGGATGTTTTTCAATGCCAATGGAAAATGTTCCTGTTTAATTGCTTAATTGCGTCAATGCGTAGTCTTGTGAGCATGACTGCAAAGAACTACAACAGCCAGAGACCACATTACCACTGCAGTTTGCGTGAGTCACAGGCCAGAGGCCGAGGCCGCAGTCCACAGTGTGCACTGTACAGGGAGCCAGGCGATCAGGCTCTGGTTCCAAAAACTGCACATCAAAATGTGACCCGCAAAAAGTGTGCATGTGAAAAGATTTTTTGTGTGATTTCAAAGTTAGGTACTGCAGCTTTAACAGTACTGTACCCTCATTCCTTGCACAACTCATCTCTCAAAATGCAGCTGTACATGAAAATGGTGAACTCTTGGACCAAAGTGGGGAGCCTTAGCCAAACACCTTTGTTGGTCAGCCCTGCACGGCTTTTATGAGCTCATCTGTGGATGTTGTGAAATGGCTTTCAGTGTTTGTCCTTGTGTAATATTATTTGTTGCAATAACTCACATATTTTAGAAAGATAACATCCTCAGATTTTTCTTTAAGCATCTGCAATAGATAATAAATGATGGAATAATTACTGTGGAGCTTTTTAGTGAGGCCAGATAGGTCACTCTGTTCTTCCTGTTTGGATGTTTCGCTCCCTCCTGCTGATGTTACAGGAGGGTTAGTTTATGCAGCCCCCCAGGAGGGATTGAGAAACTGAAGGGAGATAACAGGAACAACGTCTTTCCAAACAATTGCCTACTCCTCTTATGTGTCCACTTCAATCACTAGTGCAAACTATTAGTTATGAATCCTAACAAGTCTCAGGCAGGATGTGAGGATCATTTTAGGATTAGGGGGTTCAAAAGTTTTCCCCATAAGATTGTGAAGCAATGTTTAAATGATGCAATAGGTAATCTAGTTAAAATAAGTTCTGAATTGAGATTCAGGAAGAACGCTACTGTAAATTATGCATGTTACTCCTTCCAAACGAAGACCGATAAATGCATCGCCTACATTCATTTTTTTCTTTGTGTGTGTTTAATGTTGTTCTAGAAGCCATTGAGGAGAGGCATACTTCACCTACCGCTGAAGAAATTGCCAAATTGGAAGCGTTTATTCCATCGAGATTGACATGTCTCACTTTTCATCAAGTGTGTCTGACTATATCGATGGCAGAATTCAACCTTCTACACACACTAATGCCTGTTATCATGGGGCAAAAGGTAAATATCTAAAAGGGATTGCTTACATTCAACTCAGCCAAACAACTTCATTGGGACAATTTAACATGATTTCCATATTTTTTAGGTTGCTCAGTTTCCTTTGCAAATACCAGTGTTTCAGGCTGTACGGCCTCTTCCGTCGGTACAGTTCACAGTGGAAAAAGTGAATGTCGAACACTCGTTGCCTATGTATGGTCCTGAACTGATCAGCACAGTTAGCAGTCTGAGCCAGCCTTCAGACAACCTCCTGCATCACTGCTATGCACATCTCTACCTCAAGGTGGGACATAAACACAAAGGGAGCCATCTTGTCATTGGCCACACAAACAAGTATGATAAAAGCACTGCTAGAGTATACAAATACTCTGCAGCAATCTGATCGTTCTTGAGTTTCAGAAAGCCGTGCTTAAGTGGAAAGACACAATACATTTAAAGCAAATATAAGTGTTCAAGTGACAAGTCACATGCTATGTTGATGTTGGTCTCATGCAGTGAATCCATATTCTTCATATTGTTTAGTGTTTATTTTCACCAGTGTCCTCTTGACCTGCTCTATAATGTACCTCTTTGCCCTGACAGAATTCCAGGTGCAAGCACAGTTTCAACACTTATTTCTCTCAGTCAAAGCACCGGTGCAAGTTTGAATGAAAAATTACGTCATAATGCTAACGCCATGCATTATGTCCCTAAGAGATATTACAGGTATAAAAAAAAAAAGAAACAATCAAACGGCACAATCATGGGAACATCATATACATTTTCTCAACTTTCTGGTGATTTCTGGTGATTTCAGTAAAACTTCCCTCTACTCGACGGAGGATTACAGGGGAACGAAAAAAGCTATAAACAAAATTCTTTTTGCTGAGGAAAGTACACAGTCCATTCTTTTAGAATCTGGTGTCGGATTTCAGATAGTCATAGTACACAATATTCTGTGGGTCTTGAAAAATCAGTAAAAATCATCAGAAATGGCTGGCACTGTGGGAGTACCTGTTCTGAAATAGGCTGGCATTCAATGAGTTAAAATAATGACAGAGATCTGTAATTTTCATCATAGGTACACTTCAACTGTGTATGGAAGCCCGTTTCCGCCATGTAAAAAAAAAAAGAAAGCCTACAGAAAGTCAAAATTACGACTTTAAAACTCAAATTTTTTACTTTAAAAGTCAAAATTTTGACTTTAAAAGTCAAAATTGTGTTGTTGTCTGGAACGGTCTCTGGTCATCCCTGTTATAGATCCATGACCATGGGTCGTCCTCTACCTGCAGATTATGTGAAGATTTTGCCTACAGACAGTGACCACATCCATAGTAAGTAAGTAAGTTTTTATTTATATACCGCCTTTTCACTGCAGATCTGAGTCTCAAAGCGGTTTACAATTGTTAATTTTTGGGCATTTGTCTCTCACTCCACACAGAGATGGGAGGGGCCAGTACAGGAGGCACATGCCAGAACTATTGGACATATTTTTAGTGGTAGGGGAAACCGGAGTACCCGGAGGAAACCTACGCAGACACAGGGAGAACATGCAAACTCCACTCAGAAAGGCCCTGGTCCGACCGGGATTCGAACCCAGGACCTTCTTGCTGAGAGGCGAGAGTGCTATCCACTCAGCCACCGTGCCGTGCCATGAAGTAGCCAGCAATAATGTTGTGGTAGTAATCGCGTTAAAATGCAAACGGTCCCTTCGTTTATGATTAGAATCCGCTTCAGAAGCCTCTATTTAGTTTATCCTAAACGGACTGTAGAAGATTAATAATAAAACACATGTGGCTGTTCAAAGTCATTGAGCATCAACTGGTGACATCTGGTCAGTATCACGGTTATCGATGGATGCACCAGAAATGCAGTGAATGATATTGTATGCCAGAGATCTTCCTTGTTTGAAGTGACCAAATACTTATTTTCCACCATAATTTACAAATACAATCTTTAAAAATCCTACAATGTGAATTCTTGGATTTTTTTTTCACACTATGTCTCTCACAGTTATGGAAGCCCGTTTCCGCCATGTAAAAAAAAAAAAGCATACAGAAAGACAAAATTTTGAGTTTAAAACTCAAAATTACGACTTTAAAAATCAAAATTTCGACTTTAAAAGTCAAAATTACGACTGTTAAAGTCTTAATTTTGACTTTTAAAGTCATACGAGTTTTCAACTGCACATGCGCAGTTGAAAACTCGTAATTTTGACTTTTAAAGTCGAAATTTTGACTTTTAAACTCAAAATTTTGACTTTCTGTATGCTTTTTTTTTTTTTTTACATGGCGGAAACGGGCTTCCATAACTGTGAGAGACATAATGTGAAAAAAAAATCCAAGAATTCACATTGTAGGATTTTTTAAGTATTTATTTGTAAATTATGGTGGAAAATAAGTATTTGGTCACTTCAAACAAGGAAGATCTGTGGCTCTCACAGACCTGTAACTTCTTCTTTAAGAAGCTCTTCTGTCCTGCACTTACTTGTATTAATGGCACCTGTTTGAACTCGTTATCTGTATAAAAGCCACTTGTCCACAGCCTCAAACAGTCAGACTCAAAACTCCACAATGGCCAAGACCAAAGAGCTGTTGAAGGACTCCAGGAAAGGATTGTAGACCTGTACCAGACTGGGAATCTACAATACAATAAAACTGTGGGAGCAATTATCAGAAAATGGAAGACATACAAGACCACTGATAATCTCCCTTGATCTGGGGCGCCACGCAAGATCTCATCCCGTGGGGTCAAAATGATCATGAGAACGGTGATCAAACATCCCAGAACCACACGGGGGGACCTGGTGAATGACCTGCAGAGTGCTGGGACCAAAGTAACAAAGGTTACCATCAGTCACACACTACGACGACAGGGAATCAAATCCTGCAGTGCCAGACGTGTCCCCCTGCTGAAGCCAGTGCATGTCCAGGCCCGTCTGAAGTTTGCCACGAAGCACATGGATGATGGGAGAATGTCATGTGGTCAGATAAAACCAAAGTAGAACTGTTTGGTATAAACTCAACTCGTCGTGTTTGGATACTGAGTTGCATCCCAAGAACACCATACCTACTGTGAAGCATGGCAGTGGAAACGTCATGCTTTGGGGCTGTTTTTCTGCTAAGGGGACAGGACGACTGATCCGTGTTAAGGAAAGAATGAATGGGGCCATGTATCGTGAGATTTTGAGCCAAAACCTCCTTCCATCAGTGAGAGCTTTGAAGATGAAACGTGGCTGGGTCTTCCAGCATGACAATGATCCCAAAAACACAGCCCGGGCCACAAAGGAGTGGCTCCGTAAGAAGCATTTTAAAGTCCTGGAGTGGCCTAGCCAGTCTCCAGACCTCAACCCCATTGAAAATCTGTGGAGGGAGTTGAAAGTCCGTGTTCACTGCTCTCGAGAAGATCTTCATGGAGGAATGGGTCAAAATACCAGCTACTGTGTGTGCAAACCTGGTAAAGACCTATAGTAATTGTTTAACCTCTGTTATTGCCAACATAGGTTATATTACCAAGTATTGAGTTGAATTTTTGTTATTGACCAAATACTTATTTTCCACCATAATTTCCAAATAAATTCTTTAAAAGTCCTACAATGTGAATTCCTGGATTTTTTTTTTCACATTCTGTCTCTCACAGTTGAAGTGTACCTATGATGAAAATTACAGACCTCTGTCATTATTTTAAGTGGGAGAACTTGCACAATTGGTGGCTGACTAAATACTTTTTTGCCCCACTGTATATCATATTCAGTTACATTTTGTTTCATTGAGTTAATTATACCAGTAAGTAATTAATGGTTCAAATTCTAAAACATTATTTAATTCATAGTGGCATTACACACTCATTTCCAACATTTCATTCAGAATATATCCTTCAACCTATTGTATAGTTGTTTATGGTCCGAAGTGTATACAATGTCACTTTTCACAGCTTAACTGACCTTTGTGAACCTTTTAGTGGCTTTTCACATTGTCATAAAAGTCTCACCACTGTTTTGTGAAAGACACCAGTCCGCCTCTGGAATTTATCATTTTAATTTATGACTGGGTTTAGGAAATAATTAAAATAATTCAAATTATACATAAACCTTTTCAGAGAAAAAAACAGTCTGTATTTCAACTGTAACATATATTACTTTTCAAGTTAATTTTGAGTTGCTTTATTCTAGCATTGCATAATTTTATATTCAGGAGTCTATCCCCAGATGCATAGGATAGTTAAGCTTCTAGACTCCAGTTTTGCTGTGGAAGCTTTGTTAAAAGGCAGGATGCATGGTGGACTTCATGCCTGCAGTCCTTATCACAGGGTCAGGGTAGGGTCAAATAGTCAGTGGCCAAGACCCACACAGATCAAGCTTCTGGGGACGAAACGGCCCCTTCTGTTTTTTGGCAGTGAGATCATGACAGAATGGAGGTCATTGTGACAACATTTCACCCAATTCAGGAAGTGATTTGGAGTGGAAACCTCATCTTATCTTAATCTTGTTTTTATTGATGCTGTCAGAGCTAGTGACTGACGTGCTAATAACCGAGACAGCTATTGTCTCACTTTTTATTGTTGTTTACAAAATCCAAATGATCAACCAAAAGGCAATTATTTATTTTTAACTTTTGTTTTTTTGACAAGTTTGTTCTGACTTCTTCTTCGTTCTTCGTTTTTGTTTAGGTATTTGGTTTTCAGACTGGTTTGACGTGTCAGAACAGCATCGGGGGCTTCCTCCCTCTCATCCCCATCATACCTGCCTTCAGTACTGCTCTTTACGTCAAACTGATACAGCTGCCGGGATACTGGTGAGTTAAAGTTTTCTGCATTTAAATGATTCAATGTTCCAATGTTTAACACAACGCAAATGGTATCAGTTAAGTTTTATTTTTTGACCAAAAGTGTGTCTGAGGAAAATCATCCAATCCACATTTATTAGTACAAAGACCAGACGCGACAGAAAAAAGCCATATTGATGCACTACAGACATACAGACCTGTTCAACAAAATGTTATGTGCGCTGCATTTCAATATATCAATTTATAGAACAAAAAATAGAAACTACCAACCAGAAGAATGTTGAAACTAAAATGTTCCAAGTAACGTATTGGTAAAACCACACAGTTTGTGTGAAACTAACGCAGTTTATGGGCTTCATCCAAATCATTTTGATACCCCTTTCTTTATCCATCCAACCTTTTATGAGGCAAGGTTTTTTTGGGTTTGAGGATATTAAATTCCTTTTTTAAAACAAGGTTTGAAAATAGATTCCTAGTGTATTTAAATTGAGAAGAAAGAACAGGGAAGGTAGGAGGTGTATTTGTTGAATATGGATTCAGCCATGTTGTGCGTGACTCTGCGACTCTGAGATAGAAAATTGTTACGGAAAAGTGTTTCAGATTATCCTTATATCTGTGGTCTGTGTCACAATTTAAAATCTCATGAGACTAAAACTCCTGGAGTCTGTTGCCAGCTTTAGTTGAGTTGAGATATTTGGTTCTGCTGCTAAAGTTGAGCATGCTATTTTTAGCCTGATTTCCCCATATTTCCGGTTGCACTTGGTCATGCTTCTTTGTAGAAAACTCTCAGAAGCTGCTTTTTCAGTAGTCTGCTTAAAATGGGTATACACCCCAATTTCATGCAATTCTTTTTATTTGCAAAGATGTCGTCAAACTCGCACTGTAAATTATGTTATTGTTCGACCAAACAAGCCTGTTAGTATTCATAACAGAAGGAGAGGAGAAAAAGCATAAAGAGCCCAAAATGCCATGCAGTTCTCAAGGTAAACGAGACAACGAGAATGTGTAACAGGAACTGCTGAGTCTGCACAAGTGTCACTGATAATTCACCAGTAACTTTGTCACAAGTCACTTTACCTGTTATCAGGACTACTGTATTATTACATATCTGATAATTCTGCCTTTCACTAGTCACTTTACCTGTTGATATCTTACTGTATTATTCATATCCATCTGATAATTCTCCCATTCACGTCACTTTACCTGTTGATATCTTACTGTATTATTATATATCTGATAATTCTCCAATTCAAGTCACTTTACCTGTTGATATTATTTCTTTATTCTGCTCATATTCATATTCTCATATTCTCTGCTGCTAATTTATAATATAGACATCTGTAAATACTCCGAACCAAGTGCAATTATAGCCCAGAGTTTATCTCATTTTATTTTATTTTATTTTATCTTAAATGTATTGTCTATTATCTTAAATAATAGACTTTGATGTGTGCAATCTGAGTGCTCTTATTTCCTCTCTCTGCTGTAATGTGCAACCATGACACTGAAATTTTTCCACTGTGAGACTAATAAAGGTTTATCTTATCTTATCTAAAACATAGTCATATTTTAACTATGGAGACATAGCTAAAAGGTTTTGAACCTGTATGGGGTTTTTGCAATGCGCATGTTCCCAATGTCAGTTTATGTTGAGTCTTTCCAACATGCTAGGTTGGAGAATCAATTTTCCAACTTAGCAACATGTTCTTTACTACCTGAAGTCGAGGGTTTTCACTTGTTTCTTCACTTCACTTGGTTTACCTTTGGCTTAATGTTTCTGACACATGCACAAGTTGGAACAATGAAAGCAGCAACAGTTGCATGTTTGACTGAACACTTTCCTGTACGAGTTAATGGTGCTCAGTTTGTTGGATTAGAAGTTTGAAGCCTGTCAGTACACCTTGACTGACTCATATTTGACCTTGTTAGTTCTGGTTGTCTTCTCTCTAGACATGTGCCCACAGTGACAGCTGACTGTATGCTCCTGTGAGAATGATGTCCAACAAGTTTTGCTCAGTTTGGTTACAATGATGTGTCCGTTTGGGGCTCAACTGGTGTAACACTTATACATTGCCAGGTAATTGGACTATCTTTCCCAAACGCTTTGTTTAACAGCAACACCCATCCTATTTGTTTACAGCCAGGATTGGGATGACTTTGTCAGGATATCGTCCGCAAGCAAAATATAACACGTTTTATACTAAACACAAAAAATATGAACAAAATAAAAAATATAAATTATAGTTTACGGGCTGGTGTGAAATTGGACCACAAGGAGGCCACAAGACGAGTTAAGAGATGAGAAAATCACTATTGCATGTACTGTACTTTCTCCCGCAATCGATTATCGATATGCATTTGCCAAGTATCAATTTTGAAAACAGTTTATTTTATTTAAAAAAAATTAGTATCAATACTTAATATATGACTATATTACGCATCTCCATTCCATTTATCATGAAATAAAGTGTATTTTTTCACTTAACATTTTTATTTTATTTATGCCATAAATTGGCATATGGTATATTTCTGACCAATATATCGATAATCGTCATATCGTGAAATAATTGTTATCGTGATTTAATTGTTATCGTGAGATAATCGTTATCGTGAGCTTTGTATCGCGTATCGTATTGTATCGTGAGGTACCCTGAGGTTCCCACCCCTAATTGCATGTTTCTACTTTAATTCCCTTTCATAATCTATTATTGTTGTGTGAATTAGTGACATTTTCATATGATTCTTGTGAAACCTTTAATCCACATCCTATTGTAAAAGATGGGCCTTTAGAGGGGACTGTCAAGGTTATCCTTATATTTACTGTGCTTTTGTCCCATTGTTTACATTGAAATTGTTTAACAGGGATTTCTTGTTGCTTTTAACATTGGGAGACAAACTCAACAGCATGTGTATCCTCGGCTCTTTCAGTCATACCAACTATCTTTGTTTTGCATCTTGAGTTGGCCTCAAGGTCAATTACTTTAGCTTGCCAGACCATATTAGCTTCTTCCAGCCACTTAGCCTGTTGTTCTAGCTTAGCAGGTCTTCAGGCATAATCACTCCTCATATTATCCAATGCAGAGAGGCGTATTTCAGCCTCATCCAAAGTGGCTTGATTATCTTTCGGAGATTCATTCATTTGATGTTGATTATCCAACTCGTCACCTGGAATGCAACTAACCCAGGTGTGGTTTCTGCATTTAAATCTACACTTTATTTATTCAGCAATGCCACTAGGGCCTCTGTCAGAAGCAGTGGTTGCCGTATAGTTTCCAGCGACCCATCTCATCTGAAAACATGCACCTAATGTGCTATTATTCAAAGCTGTTTCTAGCCATCTAGTTAGTTGAGGAACAATCCTCTTAATCCCTTCTGATAAGTGGCACATAAGTGCCAAGTGATGCTCTCCAGCAGGTGGTAGCATTCATTTTGATGGGATTGGTTTTCAGCACTGATGTAACTTATAAAAACATTGGGCCCAATGCTTTTGTGAATTTTAACCTCTGCTGTTGAGTGCAGTCGCGCAAACTTCTACACACTAAAGTTGATATAATAAATTATGATCTGACAAAATCATCATTTTCTACATTTTAATGTCCCCAATAAGATATTTGTCAAACATGATTTATTTTTGATATTTTGATTGTTTTGGATTTATTTTGGCTTTCTTTCAGAAATGGCTTTGTTCTTGTAATTTGTCCCATAAAGACAGAATTTGTGTAGAATTAATCAAGACCCAATGTAAAGATTCCCCCAGCATGGGTGCAGAAGCTTGCAGCTCCTTCAGAGTCATCCTGGGGAACATGGTTGTGTTTCTGATTAGTGCCCTCTTTGATTGACGTGGAAGGCTGTGTCTTGGTATTTTTGCAGTGGTGCCATACTTTTCCCGAATAACGGCTCGAACCATTTTCCGTGAGATATTCAACGCTTGGGAAATCTTTGTATGATAAAAAACGGCTTTTATCTTCTTCACATTTATCCTGACCTCTCTGGTGTGCTTCTTGGACTTCATGATGCTGTTTAGTGACCTATACATTCTTAACATAGCTCTGAGGCCATCACAGATTTGTTGTGATTATACTAACAGTAAATTGTATGTAGGTGAACTCTATTTAACAGTTTGGGCAAGGTGGGAGCTTTCAGCAGTAATTAGGACATTTCAAAGACATTGAAATACACTCATTTACATTTTCAAATTAATAACAATAATAATCATTTATCAAATGCTTTTTTCCCAGTTATTTAACACTTTGTTGTGGCTAAAAAGAAAGTCTTATATTATTTTTGCATGCCACTGTATGTGCACTAACACCACATAATACTTCTATAGTCGGGCCACCTGACGGCAACCGCATATGGTACTCAGACCCACCAAGAAATCCAGCGGCTGGAGCGCAGTGTGGCTCATCATGTTACAGGCTATAATTCAGTGCCACACCAGCTTTTATGTGGCACTTTTAACAGCCCCTGTTCCTAACTCTGCTGTTTCTTAAGGAGTGCTTTCTTAAATCATATTTCATTACAGGTGGATATGCTGCAGCCTCAAAACAAAAAAATGTTAGTGTCCCTAAATTGATCCTGTTGCTTTTCAATGATGCAATATCATCATTGCAATAAGTTTATTGTGATGTTGATGGTTTTTCACTGGATTTGTTTTTTATTTTTACTACGAGAGCTTCATTACGCCAGGCAAGACTGATAGGTTAGAACCAGGGCCGAAATAAAAAGGTTTTAGACTATACTATACCAAGGTACAGTATCTGTAATTTTCCTTTGTGAAGTTTGTTTTAAGCCCATCTTTTGCATCTATGGTTATTTGTATTTTTTTTTTTATTTCATTTTGTATATACACTATGTTTTACTTCATCAAATTGGTTTATTTATGCTTTACTAAAACTGACCCAAAGGTAAGGAGGGATTGTGAGTGGTAGGATTAAATTCGTCATGTCATGTGTCATCTCATTTTTATCCCGTTTATTCATCAATTTCTGGGTCGGGGTGGGGGTGGC